CAAGAGATCTGACAGGAGGAGCACCGGCACCCACTGAAGCAGCTACAGCATCTTTTCCTGATGTGCCTCTGGCCGACATGTCCACTCGTCAGCCTCTGTCAGCAAGAGGCTCGCCTCCTCAGGAAGCCAAGAATTCAGATCTCGCCGCGTCTCGGAGACTTTGACACTTTGTGCTTCCAACAAATTTGTATCCTGCCATCACCTTATATAGACAACTTGACTGAGAATCGATTAACCTAGGCCCAAAAAACATTTAACCTTTTGTACCTCAGAAAGACAGAATCCCCTGTGTGGTTTTATGAAGTGAAGCAGCAAGTTTTCTTTTGCTTTTAGACAATAAAGACTAAATAAATTCTTGTCTAAGAGGGACAACTCAACACAGAGGATCGACTGTTTATCATCTCAATCATCTCATTCAGTCTAGCTGAGGTGACACAAGTTCCTACACTTTTGGATTTTGCTGATTAGATATTAAAGTGTGTTTCACGAGATGCTAGATGCTAGATGCAACTAGCCAAATGTTTTTTTGGGCCATGTTACAGCAAACAAGGAAAATATCAATGTCAACAGAGTGTTTGTGTGGATTAAGCAAATTCCCTTCTTTTAAAGAAGTAGCCTTCCAGAAGGGAAGAAACAATATTTTAGGTAGCTCCTGCTAACTGGTAACTTGAATAATAAGACTTGACATGTCACAGCTAAATAAATAGAACACCCAGGTTTCTTGTTGTTTTTCTTCACAGAGGAAGACAACCCCAGAATACATTCACACCTGGTATTTATGCTGATATCCACCACAGAGTGCACTGTTTACTCTGAAAAGGACATTTCTTATTTTTTTCCAATTGTTCCTCAGAACTTCTCCAGTTGTTTACTACATAAACTGTTTGCGCAGACCTCAAATATTCAATTTACCTCTATCGCATTCTTTGCAAACATTAGAAGCCGTTTCCTCCATTATATCTCCACGAGCTGTGGCTCTCTCATATTTGTTAGCCATCGATCATAGTGGTGTGGCGCGCGCGGCGGAAAGCAGCCGGTGGGGAGAGGCAGCATTTGCAATCAAACAGAGAGGAGCAGTGTGAAATCTCAGGAAGAGGCAGCTTCCCCCATGCCCGTGGGCAGGGGATCAGACGATGAGGAAGCCTGCCGCAGACACTCAACACCTCCCACTGGCACCCTGATGCAAGCAGCATGCAAACCAACCCCTCACATGTATCTGTCAGCCAGCGGGTTAAGCTCTGCGTGTACCTCCACTCTGTAACTGCACTGTGGAGTGCATGTTTTGCCACTGCAGTTAAGGTGCTTTTAAAAAGCTTCCCTAAGGTCCACTGTGAGTATCGGCCGTGGTGATCGAGGTGGGAGAAGGTTGAAAGTACTGTTTTTTTTTTTCTTTTTCGGTGATATCGCTGTAAGCAAGCAGATGGGACTGACCCTAATAACAGGACAAAGGTGCAGGTGCAATCTATCTCACAGCCTACAAGAGAGGAGTTCTGCTGTGCAAAGAGGAGAAGATGTCATTGAATCACTGTTTTTCAAAACCAAATCACAAGGTCTCAATTTACACCCAGCCTTTTTTCAGACATGGGGCTTAATAGTGCTGTGGTTAGTCCATCTGTTTTCCATTGTTCATCTTGGCTATTCATCCATTACATAAAAAGACTATAAAGTCTGAAGGGATTGTGCAGATTCATTTCAAATATAGGTACACTAGGTGCACTGGGTTGACTATGCAAAAATATACAAATTTTCTCACGGTGCCTTTGGCTGGCGTTTGAAGCTGAGGTTGAGTCATTTGTTTCATCATGTCCATCGAATATTCAAACAATGACCATTTCATCTCAGTGTGGGAGTATGTTTTTATTTGTAGGGCAGACAGCAGTTTGCCTCACTGTAAATGGACTGCACTACAGCTACAGATGGCTTATGGCCTCGGCAAACGGCAAAGAAAAAAGTATCGAGGATAGTAATTATGACTATTGATCTCTATGTGGAAATGGATTTGAGCGTGACAGAAAGGTCAGTCCAAGCAAATGTAAAAACTTCTGCTTTCACTAACGATACATCCTATCATAACATGCTGTCAGACCAACACAAGGAAGGCATCATAATTCCACGATGGAAAACTGCTCTGAGTTGGAATAGAAATAACTTACTCTAAAGGATAATCATATAAACAGTGGCAGGTTCAGTTAGACAGACCTCATGTACTAAAGATCAGTATTTCTCAAAGCAATATTTTTTCCTAAAACCAAATAAAATATGGATAAAATACAAAAAGATAAGGTAATGACCTACTAAAATCGTTGGCATGAGAGCACGCGTGTTCTCTCTTGACGACATGCAATATGTGCTTTGGCACCCGTGTAGGAAAATGTCGTGATTTCGGTATGCTAAATGTGTATTTAGCTGTCAATGCCGATTTTCTGGCCCTTGATGATGATAAGCGAGGTTCAGAATGTGCAGCATAAAATCTTAGCGCTGATGCACGGTGTCATTTCTCATAAACATGTTTTCTTTTAAGAAATCTTCATTTCAAAAAGTCCATATTATCTTTTTCAAAGCCACACTCAACCTGAAGTCAATCACCAATCTTGTAGTCAAGATACAGCAATCAGCCTTAACCTGAGGTTCTTTCATTTTTTCTATTGTAGGACTTAAGAGTCAAAAGAGAAATTTGTGCCTTTCAGTCGCTAACTGCGATTGAGGTGCACTTGCATTCATCCCAAACCGGATCACATGCACAAATTTAATGGCAATTTTGAATTTATAATGATAGGAACAGGCTTAAATGTGCATGTGAAGTGTTTTAGAAAACCTCCATGAATGTACCTTTTTGGTTTCCCATACACAGATTTGAAATGTAGATGTGAAGCTGTGCCGATTAAAACATGAGGCCTCTTGGTGAAGCATAAACCTCCTGAAAGCTGTGGAGAGGTTTTAATCAAGTGTGAAATCCTTTTGGGTTAGATGCCTACATGGCTGTGCTTGTGCTTAGAGGCGCACTTCTCAAACCGCTCTCTTACTCTCCATGAACATCTATTGAGGTATGAGTCTATTCTGCTACTGCGATGCTCCAGACAACTCTCTTAACAGTTTTGACTTAAAAAAAATAAATTTAGCTCATCATGCATGAGCTAGTACACATGCATGGACACAGGTTTTCATACAGCTTGTGTCGGAAATTTCCTCATGGCCCCATGCCGTATTTAGTTATTCTCTTATTGTTCTAAATTAGGCAAAACAGTAAATTGAATTAATAAAAAAAAATTCCTAGCTCAATAACAATGACTTAGTAAGCAGAGAGATGAATTTACCTCAGCATAATGGCATATTTGAGCATGAATAAGGCAGAACATTACTCAATTGTGAAATAAATGCATTAAATAGCCTAAACATCTAGCTATTTAGGATTACAGACACAATGAGATTAACTGGGACAATAGCTCAAGCTATGCATTTTTCTTTGTCCAATTATTATTTCGGCAATAAACAATGGGACAATTGTATTTGGATTACCCCCTGAGAAACGCATAGTTACCAACGAGGACACTGAAATAGAAGATAAATAGCCTCCATTCGGTGTATTTCTTAGCACGCGCTGCCTCAGTTTCTTTGATTGACTGAAGCAATGGTGAACCAGATGTAGTTTTTCCAACATCAAAGGTCTGACATTTGTGGGCTAATTATCTTGCCATTGGCCATGAACACAATACTGATGCTACGTCTCAAAGGCTTACCGTCAAGCTGGCATTCTTTCTATTAAGTGTGAACTCCTACAACTTCGTAGACTACGTCATCTCTTGTGGTTGCATCATTCGCATGCAGCAACATCTTTCCATTTGTTGTGCGAGCGTGTGTGTGTGTGTGTTGTGCGTCTGCGAGTGCTTGTGTGCAGCGCTGAGCTCTCAGCCCTCTCTGTGAATACATTTAGTCTCATTTACACTCTGTCCCGCCGCCACAAAAACAACACAAAGCATCCATGATGGACATGTTCTCTCATGGTGTGGACAGCCTTGTGGCATTACAGTAATGCGTTTATCACAGCAATCAGAAGTTTACATGTCTGTGACACACAGATGCTCGGATCTTAGTGATCTGCTCCTCTCTCAAACATTGATCTGCCTGTCCCAGTATTAGGCGGAAGGGATAGCGAAGATAAATTGAGCGGTATTTCTATTTAATCTGGGCTGTATTATTAGCTTGTCAACAGGTGCGCTGCTTAGCCTGTCTGTTGACTACAGCTGCGCATTTCTGGTGGACAAACATGCCGGTTGTTTAGTGCTTTCAAAAGCACGTGATCTACTCGAGTGTTAGCTTAGGCAAACTTGTTTCGGAGATTTCTCAGCCTGTACATTAAAACGAGGTCACTAGGTTGTGGACCCATTTATTTAATTAGGAACAGTTGAATAAAAAATGGATGATAATCAAGGGCAGGGAACTCATTTCAGCACTGTCAATCAATAACTCATTCAGCAATGGGGTTTTTTTTCCCCCCCGAGGGATCCAGCTACTCCCTTTGTAACCAAAACCTTGCATGTCTCTAGTGTGCAAATGCACTTTCTTCTAAACCTTTTTCTTTTGTCTTGATACAGTGTTTACGTATCATTTACTGTAGACAGGTGACATGTAAGGAAAATATACTGCTACTGAACATATTAACAATATATTACAAAGAAACCAGACAAACTTCTGTCATGTACTTCTAAACGACATGTCCTGTCTCTTGCATCTACCACACCAGCTTGTGGACTAGACACACACACAAGCACTCATTACACAGTGCATAGCGACAGCCACATAGCAACTGCTGCTCACTGCTTAGCAACAGCTGCAAGGACCTCAAAGAGGAGGGTGGGTTCCATGGGGTGTTTCAAATGACACCATTTCTGCACAAATATGTTTTTACAACTTCCTCTCCGTAAAGTATTGTTCAAATGTTTGCTACTTTAAGGCTCTCTTTGATGTGGCGCCCCCCCCCCCCCCCTCTCACCTGTTCGCAGATATCCGCTCCCTCCCCGACGTGGCGATGACCGGAAATTGCACGACTGAGTGCAGTGAACTGGGCCACTCGGACGCCTGCTGGATGCCCGGGCATCCCTCCCCCGTGCGCAAGACCAGGAACCTGCCAAAACTCTCCACCTTTGTGCCTTACCAGGAGAGAGGGAGCCTGGGACGCCTAGCGAACGGGAGCGCCAGGCCGGGTGGCGAGGAGCACCGCTCGCGCCTTCCACCCTCCCGCAGTGCCTACTCCAACAGCGGTCACGATGCCAATCAGGACTGCCCGTTAGAGGAAATGCCCCTGAGCGTGGCCTCGGAGTTCCCCCCAACATCCCCCTCCGCCCACACCCCGAAACGAGAAATTTACCTGTAAGGAAACGTATTTTATCCAATTGGTTCTCTAACGAAAAAAAAAGATACGCCCACTTCGGAGGAAGAAACGGGCCGTCCGTGCGCTAAAGCCGGCGGCCATTTTGTAGGTAAAGATAGGCTCTGACTCATTCAATCACTGGCATGAACAGTTGTTTTTGTCATTTTTGGCCTAAATTATCAATTCATCAGCATATCTTTGGAGAACTCCGACATACAATTATCTCAACATACAAAGTCAGACTGATTAAAAAGGAGAGGTAAATGGAAACTGCGACTTCAGCAGGAACTATAATTATTGTAGTTAGGAAAGTCCCATTCTGTGAAGTGATCTCTTGAATTTGAAAGTCGTGATCAGTGCTCTTGTGCCATTTCTAGATATAATTTAATAGACAGCCAGTCCGACCACATCAGAAGGCTTAACCCTTTTGACCTAGAATTGATTGAAATGGTCGTTCTTAATGTACAGAGCTGTAAATACATTTGAATGGTGTGTTCTACATATATTTTTGTCTGGCATAAACTGAAAAAAATTGCCTCTGGATTTTAGCATATTTAAGCTTTTACTTTTACCGCTGCTGTTTAAACTTGACTGAGACCATCTCCCAGAGTGGAGCTGGATATCGTGGAGGGCGTTTATCTGCTCCACGCTGTCAAACAACTCACACGCGTGCACACTCACACTCCTTTGACCCCTAATCATCGAAGAATGGCCTTTTACCTCCGGTCCCTGTAGGGCTCCGCCACTGGTGGCGAGCTGTGCGGCAGCATTTAAACTGACGTTATGTTTCACTGACTTGCAGCACTGTGACCCGTCGTTCATCACGAAAACGGTTGACTTGGCCACAGAACCCCAGACGCAGAGAGCTCACCAGACACATTCTGATTGGCTTTTTACTCCTTGGATGTGATTACACCAGTGTACCAGTGTTGAAAGTTCCTCTTGGTTGAGACAATCAGATGGGTTCTAAGTGCGACTTTACTTCCTTTCCTCCACATCCCGTGGTCCTTTCCCCCCCTCACAATCCATAAAAACTTATTTAGATCTAATGAATGCCTGAGGAACTCTTTAAATGAAAGGGCACTTGAGTGTTGAGGGCCACAGGGGGGGGATTCAGTGCTCAACTTAATATTTTCCTCATATAAATTAGACAGGTACACTAAATCCGGATTATCATACATTTCTAAGTGGTGAATTCAACCACAGCACCTTCAGAAGCCGAATTTGGAAATATGGACCTTCCATTATAGATTAGGGAAATAATATTCCAAATAAATATTTGATTTCATGTCATTAACTGGTGCCTGCAAACACAAGTGTTGAGCTACAATAGAAAAAGAAAGTCAAACAGTAAGATTCAGACTTGGTTTTCTGCAACTCCTGTTAATTAAGTATAATTTTCTTTGTATTGAGGACAACATGCTTAATAAGTCATTAGGCATGTGTTCTCCTCTGGCTATTGAATAGAGAATAAAAATAGGGCATGCCTATGGGATTCATTTATCTTTACAAAGATTTTCCAAGTGAATCTGAAGGATATGTCTGAAGGACACTACGTATTAGTTTGTAATTGGATGTTAACGATGACTCCAGTAGCCTGCGATACAACATCGTAGCACCAGTCGAGGTCTTTGATTTTAACATCGATTTGATTAGATTTGTAGATACCTTTCACCTCTGCGAAGAATTTCCTTTGTGAATGTGTCTCTGAGTGAGGGTGGAGGAGCCTAGGATAGACATTTCCTAATTAAGGTGAGTAATGAGTACTGAGTTGGGGCATGTGTGAACACACCCCCGGGACGAGGCACCCACCAGATAATGCAAATCCACCCACTGAGCTACAATCAGTTAAAAGGGGTATTTTTATCAGCACTTACCTCATCATGCTGCCATTTAAAACTACGTTTAAAATAATTAAAGTGAAAACATATGGAAATTACTGGACACGGCCATGATTAAATAAGCTTGGCGAATATCCTGCCCGGAGGGGGACAGAGGAACATTATGCCATTTTCAAAGCCATTTAGTGACTGGAGTAAAATTCAAACAACAAGCCATGATACACTGTGATTAACCCCCCACCCAACCCTCTCTCAGCATCCATCTCAGGCCTGTGGATAGCCGCTTCACTTACCAAGAGCAGTGGGCAAGATTACTGACCTGGAATTAATGACGAGCGAGAAAGATATAAATGAGTGATAAAACCAGTGTCACATAGCCTCAATTCCAGCTTTATCTATTTAAATTCCTCGACTTGAGTCCGTTCTGCAACCGCTTTGGATAAAGATTCAGTTCCAGGGTTGATTCTTAACCCAATTCCAACCCAATGTTCATGTAAGTAAATCTGGAATGCATTCTCTGATCACAATTATTGTTTTTTGGACCCAAATTATATGACAGGAAGTTAATATATGCTAAGTCCTCTGGAAAACAATGACGAGCATGAGTGTACTTACCCCACCCCTTTCTTAATGGGTCAAAAGCTTCTGCCCAGGCCTACGGTTGCTGACTTCTGAAAGGATATATTACCAGGGTTGCGCTTTGTTTTAAACTCATGCTTAATGAACTCTGTTAACCTCTGTCCTAAACACGGAGCTGTACTTCTTGATCAAAGTAAGAGGATGACGCAAAGCACCCAAATACACTCTGAAGTGTGTTGACTAATGTTTAATTTGTACTTAACATTGATTTAATGTTGAATTCACTTGAGTATCTTTTGCCTCTGTACTGTGTATCGTATGGTGATCATTTCTGTGGACAGATGGACAAATTGCTGTGATGAAATTTGGCAAGGGACTTTTTTTTTTCTCACCGATCAAAGACTCAACAAACTGGTTGTGTGGAAAAAAAAAAAAATAGAAATCTTTTGGTGGTGTAGTGTACATAGCTCTTCACAACCCCGTGTCTGCTACTGTGCAGGCGGTGATTTTAGCATGAATTCCAAAGATGATTGGTAGAAACTGTTTACTCGTTTTATTTTACTTTCTGAAATGTCAGTGCTGGTTCATATTTCAAAATGCCCGCTCTCCCAAATGAACTGAAATTAACTGCACATTTCATGTTTTTCACAGTTCATCTAGAACAAAGACGATTGCCTTGAAAATATGTCTTTGCAAGAGAGAATCTAGTTGTTATCCTAATTGTTGGTATATTTATATAGGATAAAATGCTTGTGATGCCATGTTTTTGTACAGTTTTATGTACATACAAGTGAAGCTTTCTAAAGTTCTGAGAAAAGCCGATGGCATATAAAAATTGTAACATGTTTTCTTGAGCTGTGCACATCTTGCCTAGGTTGGATTGACCTTTGCTGAGTCAGTGTGAATGTGGCCGTTCTAAGCCTGCACTGTAGTCATTCACCGGCTCTCACCTCCTGAGGACTTAATCAGTTTTTCTGTTTGTTGTGAACAGTGGATTGTCTTATCTTACCAGTTTGTTAAACTCCTGTGTTCTGCTTCGTTCCGTTTCCGCATGTTGACAAATTCTCTTGTAATACTGTAAGTCCTCATGAACTTTGTAATAAAATCACTTCAGGGAAAAAAAAAAAAAAAAAACTAATGCTGTCAGTGTTTTCTTTCATTTTTCTATTATTATTCATTACTTTTGACTGTTTGGTTCTTTGAAAGGTTTTGCAGCCTTGGAGCTACATTGTGTAAAAATGTGTCTCGCTCCGCAGCTAATTAAGATGAACTAGTATTCTTGTCATGCGGGGGACCAGCTCCTCATTTCTGAGTCAGGAAGCCGCAGAATGTTGAGAAAGAAGCATTCAGGATTTGAAGTAGGAGACCAGGGTCTGTGTTAACGGCTTTTGCCAGAAGTACACAACACCATTATGCTTTTAGCTTAATACACAATGCTTATTCCAAGCACTGATGAGCTCTGCACTGCTACATGTTTCGTGAAAGGCTGCTGTCTAGTAATGTTCATTTTGAGATGTGCCTGCTTTTTAAGTCAGAAAGAGCATGTTTTAATGGAAAATAACTAGGCTGAAAGCAGTGTAGACGTACTCATTGTGAAGACATTTTAGCTTGTTGCCTTCCTGTAGCATCTGAAAGCTGACGCCAAAGCTGTAAACTTAATTGGCCTAATCACTGTTGCACAGATTCCATAATATGTATCATGTAATCATGTAATCATATGTAAACTTTAAGAACTATTCAATACAAACACTTGAATGCAATGTTTTTTTTATATCAATCATGAGTTTATAAAATATAAGTTTGCATTATGTTGTACCATCTTTTCTTTTCTGCTGTTACTTTGCACTCATTAAATTTTAAGACTGCACTCATGTTCGGTCTCCAGAGGTATAATCACGCACCAAAAATGTCAAATCCTTGAAGAGGCAGTGGGTTGGATGGAACTTGACACAAATCAGAAGAGAACTGCCCATCGTGACTCCAGGCAGTTGAGTTTGTTGAATGAAAATACACTGATATACAACCCCCTATCTAAATCTTGTTGAACTGAGTTAAAAAAAAACACACCAATGTTAGGAAAAAAATGGAAAAAAAATAATGAAAATCTTTGATTTTCATTTTTCTGGACATTCCTCCATCAAATGTATTTGGTGTCTCTCCTACAATGTTTCACTACAAGGATAATGTTTATTAATATCAGATTATGTAAGAGCTTTAATTAATTCCCAACCACTTTAATTAATGCTAAAACCATATTTTCCCATCAGACCAGATGCAGATTGGATTTAAATTTTTTGACATTTGACATGTTAGAGAATTAGATTTTCATTTTGGACCTCACATATCAGAAAGTTCTGTTGAGAGGCAGAAACAGATCTTTAAAAAAATATAGTAAATGATTTATACTATTGATTATGAACAACAGTCTACAAAAGATTCATCCAGACAAAGCAGGCAGCACAGTGAGAATCATGTTCTTTGATTTTCCCGGTGGTTTTAAAACTATGCGTCCTGCTCGGTAACGTAAGGTGGTGCAGAAAATATAGGCGAATGCCTCCACTTATACTCAGATGATTGAGTCCC